ATATATATATATATATTAGTTCTTTTATTATTTTAAGAAAAATCCAACAGTTTGCACAATTTTATTCAGACCACTCATGACACGGCAAAAAATGTCAATACTGGAAATAAAAGAACATGCCTAGTTAATGGTAAAATGACACTTTATATAAAAACATGAGTGGGGTCAGTTGTAATACGATTCAATATGCTTTCTAAACACTTCAGCACTGACACCTGTCAATAATGTTGCCAACCTGACAGCGACCGCTTCATGTGTAAAAACAGATGACCTAATGTGTTTTGCAGATTTTAAAATGTACTTTCTTAATTAAAAAAGTACAAAGTGACGTGAAAATGCTGCTGATATTCAGCATGCACATTGGGGTTATTAAAGAGAGCATGCAAAGTGAGTGACGTCACTGAGGCTTGTTGCTTATTGGAGCAACTGACCCCACTCCTACAGTTCTGCTTGTCAAGTAAATTATTTTAAAGATGCTGTGTATTTGACTGGCTAACAAGATGGACATTTTTTGCAGTGTAATACTATTTCCAAAGGTGCAAATTGAAAAAGAGGAAGAAATATATAATTAGTGCTCACTTTTGACTTCCAGCACAAAAGCTATTATTTAGGAACCGTTTGAACCAAAGGTTCAACGTGCAAACGAACATCAGAAGTGAAGGAACAGTGATGTGGGAGTGCTGTGAATATTTAAACATGCACTTTTGTTAGATTATCCCATTTATATAAATGGATGTCACCCCTTCTTCTACTTAAAAGGTGCACTTGGACATTTTTCTATTATTTACATAACAGTTTTTTGCTGGTTGCATCATGGGGGCCGCCATGTTGAGATCACGTGACCAACCAATCAACACCATAAACTCAATGTTATTAGTCACTTTCATTTGCAAAATAAATTTATCATGGCAGAAGAAGCTTCATGTCTCACATAAACCAAAAATGACTAAGTGCACCTTGAAATTCATATGAGGAAATCTAGGTATGTTGTTTACTCGTTTGCCTTTTAACTCTATACACAAAGCAAATGAGATTGTTTGTTTGCACGCGTCATGCAATGTGTGCTTCGGTAGCCGCACAGCGAAGGCATTGCTAAAACAACCGGTTGACGTTTGTTCCGGTTAAATATGAACCCTGTTGCACCATTGCCCTCTGACATTTGGGTAGACGGTTTCATTGAAGTGCTAACTTAGATATACAAACTATGATTTTGTGAATCAGATGTACTTAGATCCTTATGAAATTGCCCACGTTTTCTGTGGGAATTTTTCTTTATTTTGTTTTTGGGGACGGGGTGGGAGGGGGGCAGGTACTCAAAAAGGAGCTGTCCACTAGTGCGAGTTGCGTTAATATCTGCACAGAGCATCCTCTACAACGTCAAAAAACAACTCTGGTGCCTTATATTCTCCACACGTTTACATGCTTTACGTGTTCGATTATTTTCTTTCCGATTGCTGTTTGTCTTTCTTTGTCGTTCGGGGTCACAACGGCGTGGAGTTTCTTAGATGACTTCTTCGACAAGCCAATCAAAGAAAGAGGCGCGCGGGCTCTTGGCCCTCCACGTTGCTGGGAAAAGAACGATGATGTCATAATCAAACAGCACTGACGTAAACATGGACGTGATGCGTTCACATCATATCAGAATTACTTGGGTTTTACCTGGCGGTACTCAAAGGCAAAATCGATCCATGTGCGGTTTTGTCCTTGATGTCAGACTTTGCGAAATTTTTCAAACTATGATTAAGTCGTAAACTGTTTTTGTGCTTGTCAAAAACTTAGATAATTCTGGCGTGACGTGAACGCAGCAGTAGTCACCTAAAGGCAGTGGAGGTCTGCAAGTCATGCTCTGTGTAAAAAAATATATAAATTAATAAAAAAAAGTAACAGGTTTAAAAAGAAAAAAAGATGAGTGTAAAAACAAAAAAAAAGCAGCGTGATAAGGTTGTACGTATGTTTCTCGCTACAGCCCAGCATTATGCTAATGTAGGCCTATATTAGTAGACTTACGGCCGAGGCAGTAGCCTGTATGATTTTTTTGTATGGTGCTAATATCCCCGTTCGTGGGATTTACTTCTGCCGGTCTTACCAGTTGCTGAATTCATTTGTTGTCAACCTCGTCACATCGCACCTTGAGATTTTACTTTTCTCACTAAAGTTACAGTGCTAACATTTCAGTATCGTGTGCAATATATTGTAGGCTGCGTGCCAGTGGTGGCGTTGCCCAAAATTCAGTCCCGCCGCAGGTTCACGTCCCCCTTCAGACCCCCAAAGCAAAACTTTTTCCTAAAAAATCTTATAATGGGTACTCTAGTCAATGCCTGATTGGAAATCCTGCTAAATCGCTGAATGATGGTGTGATGACTATAAAAAATAATCAAAGCTACACAGAGTCAAATTAAACATTTGCCATTCTGTTTTTGTTAATCCAGTCGTATATTCCAGATGATGCAAACTATGAATGTTAACGCTACAAAAGCATTAACAGAAAAACTACTTTTGAGTATCTAGAAGACAGTAATGCAATGTTTTTGAAAAGGCATTACTGATGGCTACCTCTTGGGGTCCGAGGGGGGATCGGATTCTGCGGGACGATTGAATCTTGCGTGAGGTCGGCATTTTGTGTGTGTGGATACTCGTCCCCTGCAACGACATCAAATGTACGCTTGAGGCTCGCTCTAATCGAAACATGTCTGCATATTAAACAAACCTTTTTGAAAAGTTGAGGGTTTATCCTACTAACTAAACCAGTCACCACAAACAGGGACCGTCTGAAAGCACCTATGGCGGCAAATCTGCTCTCCGCCAATCAGACGCAATCCTGTGTGACCTAAAAATATAGTGATGTAGTCACTTAAGCTTCTCGGTGGTTGGAGTAGTTTAATACTCGGTTGCTAATATATATATGTATTTTTTTTATTTTAGCCAATGTTAAATGCACAATGCTTCAGTCAGAGATATTCATAACTATTTATTTGATAAAATATCTTATGAATGTTGTTAGGAAAAAAGATAGACTTTTTCCTCAAACCCTCTCTCAACATAAGCCAGCTCACTAGTGTTGCAGTGAAAAGCCTGTTGCTGTCAGACCCAAACGTCACAAATACTCGGATATGTGGGGTTTTGTAAAAACGAGACCTTAATATGTACTAAAGCCACCAGCCTACGGACAGTTGGGGGGGGTTTCTAGCCACAGACTCCCATGCTAAAGGCCCATTTCGTGCTAAGCACATGAGGAAGTTTATAGGGGATCAAGGCTGACATTATTCCTGTGGAGCGTTTGGTCTCTTTGTTTACCACAGCACAATATTAAAGCATACATATGCACTTTGTCTCACTCGATATGCCCTCGCATCTCTTCAAGACTGAATCTGAAACGGCATGCTTCTCTTGTAGGGGCTATTTTAGGTCTATTTGTAGACCGTTATATTTCTTTTCCTCTTGAGACCGGTAAGCAAATCTTTTTCCTATCACTGCCCGGATGCGATTACGAAAACTGTTCGATGCGTGCCACAGTACAAAATTTAAACTGGAAGTAACATTTAAAGGTGTTTTCTAGAGCAAAACGATGCAAAAATGCACCCTCGATCGAATACGCACATGTTTTAAGTCAATCATGAAGGTGCTAGTGGGTACTAAATGGCTCAGTCCTGTCTGGGTGGCATCATACAGCCAGACTTTCTCATGTAAAAGTGTTCGAGCTCTCCACCAGCAAAGACCAGCATTGGTTTGATGCACAACAGCTGTGGGGACAAAAAATTTAACGGTACTCTGACTCCATTCTGGACTGGAAGAGCAATTTCAATCTTTTCTCCAATTCCAGGTGCTGATTCGAACGTCACCTGTCCTTAATGAGCATAACTGAACTAACAGAGCTGCACAGACACCTTAAAGCCCTCACGTATCTGCAGTTTCCAATACGAAGAGCAACCTTTTAACTTGATCTACTTGTTAATCTCATGAAGCGTGTGTGTGTGTGTGTGTGTGCGCGATTATCCGGTTCCCCTTCCCTTTTAAACCACGGCCAGTCACCAACTTGGGTTAGTTCTCATACTTCACGTTCCTTCGGTCTCACAAGCTCAAGGCTTTGACCTGCTTAGCTTGTAACTGTGAGCGTTTTGCGTATTAATCAGACTGTCTGGGAAGGGTCCTGCATCGAGGGTCAATGCACAAGGAGGGTATTCACATATCCCACCAACCATTTCCTTTTTATTCCCTATCAAATGTGTTGTACTTAAATATATATATATATGACCTGTGATGTGTGTGTATATATGTTTTGTTACATATGATGTTCCTCTTTATTAAAAAAGATAGAATATATATATATATATATATATATATATATATGATTCCTATATATGTGTTCCTATATGCATAGGAAATGTATATGGGAAAAAGCATATTGCTGTTTTTTTCCTTTCTATTTTATACTTACAGAAAGCATTGAATCAAATGGATAAAATACTTGCACTTTAAATATATAAAGAAAATAAAAAATCAGCATATTATTTTTGATAGGTGAACTCACATTCAAAGATTCTATAATTACTTTCCAGGCTTTGTGACTATTGCTGTTTGGCAGAAATCTATGAAGTTCTTCTACATATTAAAGTCTATTTTGTCTGTGTTACAGAAGGTTTACTAAAGTAAATTGCATGATGACTAAGTAGTGCACCAACTGTTATTTTCTTTAGTTGGTTAAAAATGTCTAATGAAAAAATACTGTGATGATTATTCTCATGTGTGTACCCATGTTAAAATTTAGTCATACATTCTAAGATATTCAGTTCAGCCTTTCCTATAACATGAATATGGTGCTTAAATTGGCTTAGAAATCCATCGTGTTCTACTCTTCATCATTGCCACAACCATCCTCCTCCTCCTCTGCATCCTCCGTTTGTTCCCTTGGCTGTTTGCGTGTTCTCACAACTTTATTCAGATTTACATTTCTTGGTAACAAGTGTGTTTTTGTACAGGTACGTAT